TTCCCGCCCTTTTGTTTTTCAAATCTGTAACTGACAAAGCTCCTCCACATTACTGATTTTCTGTAGCTCAGTGATCCAATACAGACTGTCAACAAACTCTCAACAGGTTAATGGTTTCATTCTTAAAATTTAAATACAAATTTAACTTTAAAAATGTAACTGGTTTCCAAACAACTGTTTTTTTTTGGTCACATGTAAGTGTGTGCAGCTCTTCTAAGCTGTGGAAACCTCTCTCCTCTTCTCCACTAAGTAAGTAAAAGAGACAAAATTTATAATTCATATTGTTAGATTTTTTTTTAAATTATTACTTGGGTTTATGTATAAACATACCCAGTCACAAAAAATATTAAAACTATCCCATGACTTTATATCACTTTTTTCTTTTACGATTGTGAAGGGCTCATATACTGTCCATTTTTGCTTTTGGCCTTCATAAACATTATTGTTTTTACGCAAACACATGGACACACTGTAACTCTAAACTCAATTGTGTATTTCAGATGTATCACATCCCACAACCTCATCATCTGCAGAGAAAAATCGCTACTTTATCACACCAAATTGATGGACGTTAAGGCATCATATTGACTGGATTGTGATTGTTTCACTGAAAGTTGGTCTTCATCACATCTATTTTTTTTTATTATTTTGTATTTTACTTCTTCATGTTCAATGTCAATTGTCATTCATTAATGTATTCAGCTAATAACTGTTGTTAAGAGCACTGATAATTTTGCATGTCAATAAAAACATAATTCACACAACATGCTGCTGTTGTTATTATTGTTGTTGTTTTAATGTAAAACCCTAACCGAGGCTACACTCTAAAATGCCTCATTACTGATTTTCTGGAGCTCAGTGATCCAACCACAGACTGTCAACACACTCTCAACAGGTAAATAATTTCTTTCTTAAAATGTCTATAAATTCTAACTTTCAAATGCTAATTGGTTTCCTATGTCTTTTCTCTTTTTAGTTTAAGAGAGCATGTAAGTGTGACCAGCTCTATTCAGTTAAGGATACTCTCCTCTTCTTCACTAAGTAAGTAACAAAGAAATTGAATTTTTGGTCCATTTTGTTATAGTATGGTATGTTTAGTATGTTTGTTTATGCATAAACATACCCTATCCCTTGACTTTATATTACTTTTTTCCTTTTAACATTGTGAAGTGCTCACATATACTTTTGGCCTTCATAAACAATTGTTTTCACATAAACAAATGAAAGGAGACAAACTGTGTATCTAAACTCAATTGTGCATTTCAGATGCTGTCA